TCTACTCACTTCTTTTTAAGCTCTTAATCGTCATTAACTCAGAACCTAATTGCTTCAGCAGCCAGTGTGTACCTTATGAACTTAACTAAACAAAGGACTGAGTCAGAGAACTCATAGAAAAGTAGGTTGGCACTTAAACTTTAAACCTAAAAAACAAATAGTCAGATAAATACTCACTACAAAGAGGATCATTCAGTGCTCGTGGGATGGTGATTACAGAGCCAGGTTTCATGTTCTTTTTTCTGTTGTTGAGTATTCATCAGTATTTGGGTGAGTCCCAGTTTGGAAAGAAGGAAAGTAAAATTGACTTTTGAGAAAAATTATCTAGTAAAATCTATAGAACTGAACCAAGTAATTAATTATGTATGAATGAAAATTTTAGAAATATTTAAAATGCAATTAGAGATGTGTTCGGGGAAGGAAAACTGAACTGTAATTCAGAGAAATGGAAATCAATAAATTATATGAGGGCTGGCTAGATAGCTCAGCAGATTAAAGCACCTGCTTAGGCAGAGCACAGCAGCCAGTGGTTCAATCCCCAGTATGCTGTGCTGACCCTGACCCCAGGGTGCGCTGAGAGGGTGATTGAGACTGGGTGTGGTCTTGTGCACCTGTAATCCCAGCACTTGGGAGGCTGAAAACAGAAGAATCACTACTAGTCCAATCCACGTAGTGAGACCCTGTAGACCCAGTAGACCCTGTACCAAATACATAAAAATAAATACACAAATAAATAAAATAAATTATATGAACCCTTGTCTAGTGGAAGACTGTGACCACAGTGTGGATGGGGAAGAGAGCCTGTAGAGGAGAGGCATTGGTGTCATGGCTCAGAAATATGAAGGGGGAAGATGCAAAGACCACTAAGAGCTTCATCTGCAGGGTTTTTCTGTCGGATCACTAAGATGGGTCTAGACGCATCAGCAGATCGTATCAACATGCCTCAGTATATCCACTGACTCATTTACTGAATTCATCCCAGAAGATACCATCTGGGCATGTGCAGGTTTATGTGCCACTTTTTTTTTTTTTTTTAAATGGGAAAGAATTTTCTGAACAGCTACTCTCTTGTGCTGGATGGTTCTTTGGACTCATTTCTTCGAATAAACTAAGAAATTGACATTCGGGCTCCTGTGAGACCATTTAAGATAAAGTTTTCCTAAATACCCAGAGGAGTTTATCTTCTCACTACAAACATCATGAAGGTAGTGGCTTTTTATTTTGTTGGTAAAATTCTGTATTACCAGCATCTAGTACAGTCTCTTGCAGTATAGTTTGTTGAATGAGATTTTGAACTTGTCTTATAGAGGGGAAGGTAATATCATGAAAACATGAAGTGCCCACCTTTGTATGCCTTCTGGATCAGGACCCCTCTTAGTCCACGTAGTGCTGCTATATCAGAATGAGTAGAGCAGAGAATGAGTCATTTATAAAGACGAGAACTTTACAAGATTGTACCTCTATCTGTATTTCTTAAAGCTCTGGAGACTAGAAAATTCAAGCTCAAGGGGCCTGCAGGTGGTGAGGGCCTTTTACCTGCACCACCTACAAAGGCAGAAGCAAAAGAGTGCAGACGCAGGAGAGAAAGAGCAAAGATGAGAGCTGAACTTGTTTTTACAACAAATCCACTCTTGGCATAGTGGATCCATTATGGATGATCCATTATCCACAAATCCCGCAATGATGGTGAAAGCCTCATGACCTTATCATCTCTGTGCAGTTTCACCTCTCAATACCTTTGTAGTACAAATGATACTTCCAATAGGAACTTAAGGTGATGCAAACTAGATCAAGTTCCAAGTGTAAGTCTGCTTTGTCCAGTGGCCTCTCTCTCCCTCCCTCCCTCCCTTCTTCTGCCTTTTTCCCTGGCAGGTGTCACACATGGCTGTCAAAACCTGGTACCAGGATGACTACATCATAGATAGTTTTGAATCCATGCCCTGCTTTACCTGGGCATGCACTGTGAGAAGCAACAATTAGCATGATCATTATAATAGAAAAATTTTATTTAAATATATTGGCCTATCTTTCCACCTTCCTCCTGGTTATTTGCTGTAATGATAACCCACTCTCCCTTGCCTCTTCTTCCTGGCCTTACCTTTCACAGGTTCTGTGCTTATTGTCAATACTTCCGGCCCAACCCTACCACACCCCACCACACCACACCCCACCATTGCTAAACTATCTCTTCTGTAGCAACTTCTCAAGATCTAAATGATCACATGTTATAGCTTAAGAGATGGTTGATGCCAGTGGACATACCACTGATCTGATAATCAAGGATCTCGTTTCAAGAAAATTTTTTGAACTTAAGCCACTCAGTCTCCCTGTATGCATTCATGTCATGTAGGAATTTGCCTAGAGCAATGTTCCTGTAAGCATGAACGTATGTTCTGTAATACTAGCCCACATATGTCCTTGGAACTATATTCTGTAGGGAATTTCTATACATTTTCTTCTCAAATGAATTCTAAGGTAAAGAAATTGTTCTCTATCTGATAACTGACTTCACAGGAGGGAAGAGTAGCATGTTGGTACCTCCACAGAGAACCCTGTTTCAGCTTCCTGGGGGGTTGGAGTTTCATCTCCGAAGTGAGATGCTGGAAATAAAGCAAGGAGTAGGCCGAGACTTTTATCTTTGAGCACAAAGGATCAAATTGGGAGAGACATAAAGGTGGCAATTGTAGAGTAAAGGTTTCTCAGGTCATCGTGGACATGCACACTGAGAAGCAAGTAGGTCTTTCAAGAGAGGGGCAGGGGACGAGGAAGGAGGGCGTCGCAGGTGAAGTGCTCTTTGCAGTGAGTGTAAGGGGTATTTGCAACAGCTGACCAGATACAGGACAGGGGAAAGGACATTCCAGGCAGAAGGAGCAGCATGATCCGCAGGCAGGCAGACACCAGGCTGGTGCAAAAATTCCATGATTACTCTTCTAAGAATGAAAGCTGTCAGGACAAGAAAGGGAGCACAAGAGAACCTTTTCTGGTGTGTGCTATGGGTTGTGAATACCACTCTAAGAACTCTGAAATCTATACTATGGATAACAAGAAGCCATCCTTAAATCAGTTTTAAATCAGACAAATTATATGACTGATAGTTGTTTAAAACATGGATTCTGAGCCAGGCCTTGTGGCACATGTTTGTAATCCCAGTACTCAGGAGGCTGAGGAGGAGGATTGCCATGAGTTCGAGGCAACCTGTGCTGCACAGTGAGTGGAAGGTCAGTCTCAACTATATAGCAAGACCTTGTTGAATGAATGAAAGGAGAGAGAGAGAGAGAGAGAGAGAGAGAGAGAGAGAGAGAGAGAGAGAGAGTTTTAGAGTTCTTGGGCAGACAGGAAGAGACTGGTGTGGACACTGTCTTTGAATTGAAAGGACTGGACAATGATAGGTGGTGAGAAGGTGAAGTAAAGAACCAGTTAAGAAAGAAATTAAGGACCTTGGAAGACCCTGGGGAATGATTATCTATGAGGCAAGAAAGAAAGAAAAAAATACAAAAACCACACCACAGTATTGAATTTGGGGAAGAGCTGTGCAAATTTAACATTTATGAGGATAGGACTGCACAGAATTGATGCAGTTTTGGGGTGGACTGGGAGTTCTATCACACAGCCATTTTTGTTCTGTGAAAACATGCCCACTGATTGTATTGCTGAGTGTGAGCATGATTTAACTAAAGACTATTTCTTTTAGAAGAAATTCAGTATCTACCAGAAAGTCAGCTCCAAACTGAAGCTGAGTAAGTATTTAATACATATTTGTCAGCAGGATAACATTTCTTTTGAACTTCCTCACTTTGATAAATAATCATTTTGGGGATTATAAATTCATTTTTTTCATTCAATCTAAAAGTCATTTTTCAGCCACAGATTATCCTTTAGACACTAATATGTCAGTATGATTTTATGAAAGTATTTCCATTTTCTAGGGGGAAACACCACAGAGCACCAACATTAGTGATGATTTAAAGATTGTCATTATTTTTGTAACTAATTCCAAATTTGACCTTTAACATTAAACATGATTTCTGAAGATACACTAAAATATAGTTTATAGTTATGAAGTGAGATTGTGTGTCTGTGAAAATTAGAAAAATATTCTTTTGGAAGAAATCCAGGCTCACTTATTGTATAGAACTTAATAAAATCTTAAAAAGAATTATTTTCCCAGCAACTTTTTGAAGTATGAAGTTCTTTTACTAGCGAGAAGAACTCTAGTTGAGAGGCAAAGTGTGGAAACCAGCGTGATCCAGATTGTTTATACAAAATAGTACATACCTCACTGGTTAGGTCAGAGAATATTGCTTTTACCTGGGGATAGTTGTCTTTTGTGTAACACTACATACTAATTGTATAATCTATGATTATTAACCCATGACTACCTTTTTAAGATTTTTTTTTGTCCCCTAACAGATCAGAGATCTGGAAATTGATCTGGTGAAACAGAGCTGTTGCAACACATTATTTATCAGAGGAAGGAAAATAGTGTCCACCTTAAAAATAAACCAAACCAACAAGAATGGCCAGGTCTCACAAGGAAAACATGGGGGGCAGTCAGAGAGTGACTTCAGAAACTAGTTTTTCTTTTTACTTCATAAAGTAACAGAAATAAAAATGGAACACTTTTAATAAGGCAGAGGAAGCTGTCCTTTTTCCTTTCTGCTCCCTGCAACCTTGGTGCATTTATGGCAACTCTGGAAATGTTTTGAGAAGAAATCTTGCTTTGGAAGGCAGGTGCGTAACAATCGTTTCACTATCCAAGCTTAATGATAAAGGGTTTCTGTGTCTAAGGTTGGAGCTTTCACAGATTCATAAATGTATTTCATTGTGGAATAAATTGTGTTTCAACAAAATACAATGCTCAAATGAGCTGAGACACCATGTTCTTTTACCTGAGAACAAAACCTTATTTGTTGGAGAGAGCAGGAAAATCAGGTTGTTGTTTCTGAGGTCTCACCACCTCCTATCGCTGTGCCACTCTCTGCTCTGCCCAGAGCCACTCCCTTAACTTGATATCTGTTTACTTTAGAGGAGGCAGTTTTTGAGGAAGGATCATAAATATCCTGGCCCAACGCCCCAGGAGCCATGACAAGCAAAAGAACGCACTCGCCTGGAGATAGCCTTTGTGATATTTAAATGTGTAGGTTAATTTTTCATCCAATTTTATAGCTACTTTTCTCCTGCCTACTTCTTTGCTATCCATTTCTGCTGTGAAGCTGTGGGCACAGGAATCTCTGCAGGCAGGTCCCTCCAGAGCTCATTTCAGGACAATCTGAGAACGAATAGTTGAATTCACAGCATCTGGATTCCTGCTCCTTTTCTGAAATGGCAGGTGTGAGTGGCTGTCTAAAATATTCTATGTTTATCTTCAACTTCTTGTTCTGGGTAAGTGTTCTTTTTTTATCAATTTTATGCAAGAAAGGGGATCTTGATATAAATATCATAAGCAAGAACAGATTCTGCACTTGAGAAATACAAGGAAGAAGAAAATGTATTTTCCATTTACTTGTTTGGATTTGTTTGTTCTTTCTTTGGTTATTCCAGTAATTGAAAATAAGCCAAGGACTCCAAAAAGTGTACTTGAGGGTCTATGAGGATAAACATTTCATAAATGTTTTGATATTGTTGCAAACACAATTGTAGAGGGGAAAATACCCTTAATTAAAGGACAATTACTCTCGCTGGCATATCTACCAGGGCTCCTCTGTGTCAGGGCACCCTGGGAAAGCAATCTGGTTCATTCCGAATCTGGCCCCAGAATCCTTCCTTTTTTAGCTCTGGTTTTAGAACAGGTGACTAGTGAGTCCTGAGATGATAAGGACATGAGAAAAGGTCCATTTTCAGAGTCCCCTGACCAAAACAAATACAGAAACAAAAGGGCCAAGAAAAACTTGAGAAACAATGAAATTTTTTAATCTCATGATTGAACTAAGCCAGTGAATTGGATGTGGCAGTATTTTGATGTGTCATCAAGCCACTTTTTAATCAACAAGGCTTTTATTTAGCAAGTTATGTCTCTTGAAAGTCCATAAACAGAGCAAATAATCTGAAAATAGCACCTAACATTGGAAAAATGGAAAAAAATAAAGTGTGTAAAAGGCAGAAGGATGTTAGGAAGCAGGCCTTGTCATTTTTTTTTTTTTTTAGTATCTATGGTACAGTTAAAGACATTAAAAGTAAATCAGTTGAAATGACTTAAGAATAAATCAGCTTTAATAAAAATATCATTTTGTATTTTGCTTGTGCAATAGCTTGTGTAGTATAAGTGGGAAGAAATTTCAGCTTTGCTTTTGAACCTGATTAGCATTGGTAAACAGTTGGTATCTATATGTTGATAAATTCTTATGCTGTTAAAATAATGATGGATTTAATTAAACCTAACTGCATGAATGTAGTTTTCTAGTATAGGGCAACTTTCCTGCTAATAAGTACAGACAGTATGCTGGGGATCAAGAGTGAGCTCCAAGTAAAATAAAAGCTTTGTTCTTGGGTTGTTTACTCTTTCCCTTAGAAAAATGGGCTGCTTTTGAAGGTATTAAATGAAACTCATGAATATATGCCAGTAGCTTTTATCATTAGTCTTGATAAATTTCTTCCTTTAAAATACTTGAAACTTTTCGAGTAGAATATAAGAAAGTAATGCCTATGTTCTTTGTCTTAGCTTTGTTTTTAGCTCATTATTGTACAGAACTTACAATACTCACAAAATAAGACAAAATAGGGTAATCATCCATCACTCTGATTCTTCCATCCATGCTATTTTGCAATAAATCTTCAATATATCATTTGCTTTGCAAATATTTTAGTATATGTTTTTAAAAGGTAATAAATCTTTTTAAAATGTACCGCCATATCATTATCATACTTTGAAACTGTAATAAGAAGTTTTTGGTCAGTTAAGAAATAATCATACAGGGCTTGATATTCTCAATGACCTTGTAAGTGTTCCTGTTTGAATTTAGATCCAAATAAGTGCGTGCATGGTGATTGGTTGATATGTCTTTCACGCCGACTTTAATCTGTAGGTTCTCTCTTTGACTTCATATCCCTCCCCTTGACATTTTCTGTAGTGGTATGTGCTTTTGTTTTATCACATTTGCTATGCTCTGGATTTGCTATTTCCACGTTAAATTAGGAATTTAATGTGTTCCTCTATGCCATGTGCTATCTGTAAGTTCGTGGTGGCATTGAGCAGTTTGAGAAAATTTAGGCATTTTTGGTATAATTACATCATAAGTGGGTTTATGACTTTCCTTCAGGAGGCCAGGAGGCACCACATGAGTCACTTGCATGTGATTATTCTCAAGTTAGTTCATTAAAAGGCTCTAACCGCCATTTTCTAATTCTAATGATCTTTCTTTGCATATTACCTGGAATACTTTCAATAAGGATAAAGTTCTCATGTACTGTTTTGTTGTTTGGTTGCCAAGGGTACCATATATATATA